CCAGTCCTGTACTTATATAGGTGTCACGAAGGTGACGTCATTCACAAGGATACAAACAAATCCAGTCCTGTACTTATATAGGTGTCACGAAGGTGACGTCATTCACAAGGATACAAACAAATACAGCCCTGTACTTATCTAGGTGTCACGAAGGTGACGTCATTCACAAGGATACAAACAAATACAGCCCTGTACTTATCTAGGTGTCACTTGTGTGTTTAAACTAGTATCGAAAATACTTGAAACAAAGATATACTAAACATAGGTTTACTGTAGGCAGATATACTAAACATAGGGTTACTGCAGGCAGATATACTAAACAGGGGGTTATTGTTGGCAGGTGTAGTAAACAGAAGGCTAAGTATAAGGCTATTGTAAGCAGATACACTATTCAACTATGTTAAATAGAAGGTGACTATAGGCGACTGTCGTAAACAGGAGGTTATTGTAGTAGAAGGTTAAAGTTTTTAGTTAACGGTATTTACATATTTCAAGAACTATTTACGACGGAAAACTCTGAGAAAGATGTTTTTATTCTTCACCCCCCCCCCCCCACCCACCACCACCACCAAGAAAAGAACAAGATAAACACAAATATTTGAATCTGATGAGTTATTATAGGAAGCGTTTTACCGGAACACAACAATAAAATATTAGCTCTTTTCATGCGAACATTTTCTCCTTAAACTACAATAAAACAAGGGTCCCTTTTTTTTTTAAAGCTTCTTAGAGATATTTCAATATAAAATAGTGTATTAGTCTGAACATCTTTTATTAATGCTTCGTTCTCGGCTTAATAGAGATGATTTACGTTGTAAAGTAAAACTAAATCGGTCTTTGTGGGGGTCAAGAGCATATCTGTCTCTCTAAGAACGTGTTTAGCGAACACGTTGTATTCCGATGTTTTTTATTAGTTCAAGCGTTTCGAGCATCAACTGGATGCTGTATTGTAGTTGTTAAACCTAATGCTACCAACGTTTCAAGTTCTTTTTTCTGTATGACAAACTGACGTACCTGTTCATCGCACGGGGAGGACATAGGGGTTACTCGAAGGGTGGCATTAGTGGTACAAATCCGAGTACCAGCTCCCCAGCCCCCTTGTATGACTCCCTTGAAGGTCCTAAGGGCACATGCCAAGTTTGGTGACAATCGGTTTAGCAATTCGCCAATTATAAGTGTATATATACACACACACACACATAGAATTTGTTCATATAATGGTTTCGATTAAAAAATAAATAAATAAAAGAACCTATAGGTTCTGATAGAAACCTCAAATACTACAAAATAGTGTTTCAGAAAACTTACCTTCTCTCTTGCTCCTATCAGCTTTAACGGAGACGATTTAAGGTTCAGTCTTCTCCACGAAACATAACACTACTCATTTCAGTGTTGTGAGCACCAGCAGCGTGATTTAAAACCATTTTAAATACCGGCATCTTCCGACGTTATTCCAAGCACGTTCCTCCAAGTAGACTTTGTTACGTTTGTGGTTAAAGCAGTAAAGTTTGCCCGCAAAAGAAAACTCATTTAGTTAGAGACTGAATACTGGCTTCAATGCATTCCTGATTTAAAAAAAAAAAACAGCATCTAACATGATGTTAGAAGATGTTTCTAAAGAAACAGAGGAGATGTTCAATACGTGAGAGTGATGTTTAAAATGAGATGGAGTTCATTTAGTTTTGATACTGATGTGATTTGCTGAGAAACGGGCTTAGTTTCGGGATCTGATGCGGTTCGTGTGCAGGCTTGGATTCGGGGACTGACAACTGAGACTGTCAATACCGAACTTCAGAGCTTTGCTTTATTGCCACTAGGTGAAGGTTAAGATAACTTTTCTTTTTTTGTTGTTGTTATTTTTTCCTGTCTTTTACTTACTGAATTGTATCGTTAAACTGATGGGTTTCGCTTTTTTTAGCGACTAATGAGAAGAGAGAAAATTATGTTTCTCGCTATCATTTAATTGAAACCATTTAATTCTGAGAATGTGCTCTGAAGCAATTAATATCTGCTCTGTTTATCAGTTCAGCCCAACTCCAATATTTGACGTCATTTCTATTAATAGTCTAATTTATCGAGTGTTATAAATACTATGGTAAAATTATTTCACAAACCTGTATTATCTACAACAATGATGTGGGAGTCCTACTAAGATGTATTATCTACGACAATGATGTGGGAGTCCTACTAAGATGTATTATCTACAACAATGATGTGGGAGTCCTAATGAGATGTATTATCTACAACAATGATGTAGGAGTCCTACCAAGATGTATTATATACAACAATGATGTGGGAGTCAGACTAAGATGTATTATCTACAACAATGATGTGAGAGTCCTACTAAGCTATATCTTCTACAACAATGATGTGGTAGTCCTACTAAGATGTATTATATACAACAATGATGTGGGAGTCCTACTAAGATGTATTATATACAACAATGATGTGGGAGTCCTACTAAGATGTATTATATACAACAATGATGTGGGAGTCCTACTAAGATGTATTATATACAACAATGATGTGGGAG